AAAAAAAAAAAAAAAAAAAAAAAAAAAAAAAAAAAAAAGCTAAAGAAAAGGGCCGGCCCGGTGGCGCACTGGATAGTGCGCCGCTTGGGAGGCGCGGCGGCGCTCCCGCCCGAGGGTTCGGATCCCACATACAGACCAGTTCCCGCTCACTGGCTGAGCGAGGCGTGGGAGCAACACTGAGGGTTGCGATCCCGTTGCTGGTCCCTGGTCCGGTACGGGGGCGACACTGAGGGTTGCGATCCATTGCCGGACACGGAAAAAAAAAAAAAAAAAAAAAAAAAAAAAAAAAAAAAAGCTAAAGAAAAGTTTAAAAGTGAACAGGTTAATCCAGCACGTGATTCAGTATATTCCCCAAAATCCATTCTATCAGTTTTATCTCTGTAAACATTTTCTTTTTTCCAAATCAGATCTTTCCAGCTGGAGGACTCTCCGAACTGTAGCAAAGACTTTGTGGAGATCCGGGAAGGAAACGCCACTGGTCACTTGGTGGGACAATACTGTGGAAACTCTCTTCCTCACAATTATTCATCCATTGTTGGGCATATACTGTGGATCAGATTTGTCTCTGATGGCTCAGGCAGCGGTGTTGGCTTCCAGGCCACATTTACTAAGAGTACGTTGGTTCTGTTTTGGTGATGGCTTCCAGGATATACCCTACAAACCAGAAATTATAACAATTTTTTCAGCATTGCACTAAGCAAGAACAATCCTGAACCGTACACCATTCTCCTATATTATCTTTGTGGAATTTCTTTATTATGTAATATATTAGAAAAACTAAATTATATATGAATGGCTCATAAGAGCAAGGAAGAACATTCTCAATGGCTCTAATACTCTTTTTACACTCTAGTTTCTACCTAATGTTCAAGTAAATATTTTTATGATACTGTTGTTAAGGAGTCTTCTAATATGTTATAGTTCAGATTTGTGTGTTTATGTCAAATATGTTTCATTTGATTCCATAAACTTTATATTCTTCAAGTTAAAGGCATTTAGTATTACTTTGGAATTGACTTAAGTGCTCAGATATTATAACAACAGGGTATTCTTCCAGTAGGATATAATGTTAAATATTTTTACTTTTTAACTCAAGTTTTCCATAATTGGCTATTCTATTTGCAGCTCCTAACTGTCAGTTTCTTTTATAGAATTTTTAAAAACAACTTCCCCTTTTTTTGTAAAACAAATTAAAATAGGTAAACCAAAATTAGTGAATGGGACTGGTAACCCCCTTTCCCACGACTCCAAGTCCTCTGGGATTGTGAACCCCTTTTCACACGAGAAGTTGTTGCCTCTTTTCACACCATGCAACCTTGTAAGGAGATGGAATTCCATTCACAAAATCACCCTTCTCCAAGGAATTAATAGGTAGCCCAGAAACCAAAAGGGAAGCAGTATTTCTTTCAGTAGTCAGAAAAGAAAGTACAAGTCAATTAAAAGTCCATCCTTTTTTGGGCCGAGCCCGTGGCGCACTCGGGAGGGTGCAGCGCTGGGAGCACGGCAGCGCTCCCGCCGCGGGTTCAGATCCTATAAAGGGATGACCGGTGCTCTCACTGGCTGACCGGTGCTCTCACTGGCTGAGTGCGGTGCGGCCGGTCTGAAAAAGGACCCTTTTTTGGGCCGAGCCCGTGGCGCACTCGGGAGGGTGCAGCGCTGGGAGCACGGCAGCGCCCCCGCCGCGGGTTCAGATCCTATAAAGGGATGACCGGTGCTCTCACTGGCTGAGTGCGGTGCGGCCGGTCTGAAAAAGGACAAAAAAAAAAGTCCATCGTTTTTGATATCTCTTGCCTTTTGGTTTTTTTCTTTTGATTAAAGAGCTATCCTAAGTAGGTCTGATTTACTACTCTGTTTTACCTCCTAGTTTTTGGCAATGATAATATTGTGGGAACTCATGGGAAAATCGCCTCTCCCTTCTGGCCTGGAAATTACCCCCATAACTCCAATTACCAGTGGATAGTAAATGTGAATGTGTCTCAAGTTATCTATGGTAGGATCTTGGAGATGGATATTGAAGCAGCATATAACTGCTATTATGATAAATTAAAGGTGAGTTTCCATGTGCAATCAATATTTATAAATTTTGGTGAATTACTTTTGGCAAAAATTAATCTAAGTTAATGTCTATTCATACATTTACAAATCATATGAGATAGTCTCCCCTAAGATTTCTTAGATGGAGGCAATTCCAGTACTATATTATTTTCTATTGTGTGTCTAAGGGTTTCTTTTAGTACTAATTTATATGTTGGTCTTTGTCTAAGCATGCATGTATATCCTAATTAAGTATTCTATTTTGTATCCAATTTTCCCCTTTGTTTTTATTTTATAGTGTTAGAAATTTGAAGGATCATATCAAAATTAATAAATATTAAAAATTATGGTGATCATTGCCATTGAGATATTGGCTACCATATCAATTCCAGATACACTATCAGTTTTTTGAAGGCCAGGATCCTACCTTATTCATCTTGGATACTCAGTGCCTTGAAAAGAACCCAATACCTGATAGATGACCAATATGTGTGGAAACAATTGTTATATAATTTGAAAAATAGAGATTCAGTACAGAATTTTATAATAACTGTTACAATGAATTTGTTCCAAATTATTTGGAAACTATCATAAAATATGTGTCTAAATAGATCATTTAGTATTTTAAACCAAACGAAAGCAATTTATCCAGTGCTTTGAATGTGCTGAGCCCTGCAAGCTGTGACTTTTGTTTTGTTTTGTTTTCATTAATTCATCTCTCCTTCTGTAGAGATATGAACCCCTTTAGGACACCTGTACACTTTCTGTCATTAAACCTTTCCTCTTTCTTGTTGTTTTTCCCTCTTCATTCTGATTCCTTCCTTTGAGGTTCCAAAGCACATTCATTAAGTACAGTTGTTGCACACCTATCCTGGTTCCTACTCTTTAACCCAAAAATTTTAATGTAAATCATCTGATGAGCTATATCCTACAAACCATTTTTATTAATATGATTCTGTAACAAAGATATGAAAAAATTTTAAACATATTAAATTATTTGCAATAATATTTCATATCTAATGGCACTTTCTGTTTTAAACTGAAATAAAATGTTTATTCATTTATTGCTTTCTTCTATTATAATAAAATTGTAATAATATAGGCATCTTTTAAATTTTCTTTTTTTATGAAGAAAAATAGAGGTAATCGCCTAAATTCAAGTGTTCTATTATCTGTTTTTTACATGCAGATTTATGATGGAGTTGGCATTCATTCCCGTCTGATTGGAAGTTATTGTGGTATCCAGACTGAATCTTTTATGTCCACTAGAAATTCTTTGACATTTCAGTTTTCTTCTGACTCTTCAATCACAGGGAAGGGATTCCTTCTGGAGTGGTTTGCAGTGGATGCTCCTATTGGACCTTTACCTACTATTGCTACAGGTGTGTTGAATAATAAATGACATTCTTTTTAGAACTGATATGAGTAGGCCAATATTTTAAAGGGTCCTATCATAACAGGGTCCAAATACACACATAAGTACAGCCCTAAAGCCCTTTCTCCATATTCTTTTAAATTCATAAACATTACATTTTATAAAAATTGTACTTTTGTTTCTAAAAAATACAGGTGTCCCATTATGTTTTTCATATTAATTAGGGGTTTGATATTCATAAGATTATTCTACTTACAATTTCTGGAGACTACCTTTTATATATGTATATATATAGAGAGAGCAAGGATTTATGGAACCAATATGACAATTGCAACTGGGGAGACACATAGTCAGGTCACCCTGAGAAATGTAGATATTCATAAGATTATTCTACTTACAATTTCTGGAGACTACCTTTTATATATGTATATATAGAGAGAGAGCAAGGATTTATGGAACCAATATGACAATTGCAACTGGGGAGACACATAGTCAGGTCACCCTGAGAAATGTGTTCCCTGCTAGAAACTACTTTAGATATCTCTCAGAATTTGATTTGCAAATAGCACGCACACAGTAGTTAAGGATCAACTAATAAAAATAACTGTTTTTCCTTTATATTTTATTTTAAATATGCCTTCAGTAATGCTTCACTTTCTCCTTAGGTGATTTTAAACCTTTACGTTTCAAGGTAAAATGGGCCGAGTTTTACTTAAAATGTTCAGTTTTCAACAAAGCATTAGCATTATTAGATGCAGAATGAAACTGGAAAGTATGGCCCATAAAAAAGAAAAGAAGCAATCCAAAGAAACTATCCTGGAGGAACTCAAGATATTGCACTTAATTAACAATGACTTTAAATGAGCTATTATAAATATGTTAAAGAACTAAAGGAAACAGTGTCTAAAGAATTAAAGGAAAGTAAGGGAATGATGTCTCACCAAATAGAGATTATCAATAAAGTAATGGGAAAAAAATTTTTAAAATAAGAACGAACTAGAAATTCTGAAGTTGAAAGGTATAATAACTGAAATGAAAATGTACTGTCGGTACTCAGTAACAAATCTGAGCACGCAGAAGGAAGAATCAGCCAACTTGAAGGTTATCCTGTTGAGAGAAAGTAAGAGAAGGAATAAGGAATATTGTACAGATCCTTAGACACCATCAAGCATGCCAACATATGCAAGATAAGAGTCCCAGAAGATGAGGAGAGAGAGAAATGAAGCAAAAATTGTTGAAGAAATAATGTCTGAATGCTTCCCAAATTTGATAAAAAATCTACATATCCAAGAAACCCAACAAACTCCAAGTAGGATAAACTTAAAAAGGTCTATGCCTGGATACCTCATCGTCAAAGCCAAAAAAGAGGATTATTTTTAAAGCACCAAGAGCATATGAATCATCATGTGAAAAAAATCCTCAGTAAGATTTACACCTGACTTTTCACCAGAAACCCATGGAANGAAGTGCTGAAATATAAAGACTGTCAATCAAGAATTTTATATTCAGCAAAAACATCCTTCAAAAACTAAGTAGAAATTAAGGCATTCCCAGTTAAACAAAAACTGAGATAGTGCATTGCTAGGAGACCTGCCCTACAAGAAATAATACAGGGAGGTGTTCAGGCTGAAATGAAAGGCCCTAGAAATCCTTATGTACTAGACAGTGGGGTAAAGATAACTACATAAGTCCATATACTTGTTAAAGACAATATAAATGTATGTTTCCTTGTAACTCTTCTGCCATCTGATTTAAAAAGACAACTGCATAAAGCAATAATTATAAAACAACATTGATGGGCTTATAATGTTGAAAGATGTCATTTGACCAACAAAACTTAGCTGTAATACTAACTTAATATGAAAAGTATACAAAACTTAGCTGTAATATAATATTGCTCCATCCTCATCCTTTATGGGAAGAATATTTCCATCCTTTATGGAATATGGAATTCCTGTATGGAATATCCTTCCCATAAAGGATGGGAATGAAGCAATATTATATTACAGCTAAGTTTTGTATACTACTCATATTAAGTTAGTATTAATCCAAACTACATTGTTTGAAGTTGAAATATTAATTGTAATCCTCTAGAGCCACTGAGAAAAATAACTAAAAAATATATAGTAAAAGACATAACAATGTTTTGAATGAATCTCTTTGAGTTTCTCTATTAACTTAGCTGGTAGCTACTGTGCCCATCAGCCACCAGATGCCCAAATGAAATGCCAGCTGGAGATCCACCTGCATGGGTTCCTTCCAGAATGCCTCACTTTCAGGGTTTGGATAGTGGGAAAGGTTTCAATGACACAACCACAGGATGAAAATTTAAGAGTGTTTAGTGATTACTTACCCTGGGGGGTACACAGCATACTTGGAGGCCACACACGGAGGTCAGGGAGAAAGAGAGCAAAAGGACCCAGGAGCCAATGTATTTATTGGGTCCAGGGCATTATCCAAACAGATTGCCTGCAGAGAGCTTTAACTGGTGGGTTTAAAGCAAGCAAGCTAGTTCCAAGAGGTTACCCTGTGACTGAGAGATGGTCACTTTAAGTTCACAGGCAAATGTCTAAATGGTTCATTTAAAAGAAGTGGTGGGGAAGCAGGGAGCCCAGCATGCTAGGTGGGAGAGATGTCTCTTTTTATCTGTGACCACTGCCACCAGCTGGAGCCATTTAAGTGGGATATAGCATTGGAAACTATGTCAAGGGTGACTGAGCCCTACTTTTAGTATAAGAAAGTTAAGGTTATAGTTAAAGATGGATGTTGAAGCAACATAAAATTATAAGCACTCACTTCTATTATATGATAGCAAAGTTGTATACACTATTCAAATTAAGTTAGTATTAATCCAATCTACATTGTTTTCAGATAAAATGTTGATTGTAGTCCTCAGAGAAAATAATTCAAAAATGTATAGTAAAAGAAAGAACAAGTGAATTAAAATGGCATACTAAAAAATAAGTATTTAATACTAAGACAGACAATAATAAGTATTGATAAAGATGTGAAAAAATTGGAACCTTCTATATCGCTGGAGGAATGTAAAGTGATGTAACCACTCTGGAAAACAGCTTAGCAGTTCCACAGAAATTTAAACAGAGTTACCATATTATCCAGCAATTCCACTCCCAGTTATACACCCAAAAGAATTGAAAACATATGTTCACACAAAAACTTGTACATTAATGTTCTCAGAAGTATTATTCATAATAGTGAAAGAAGAGAAACAACTCAAATATCCATTGATGGATGAGTGGGAAAATTAAGTGTGTTATGTCCATGCAATAGAATACCATTCAGCCTTAAAATGAAGGAAGGACTGATTCATGCAACAATATTGATGACCCTTGAAAACATTATGCTAAGTGAAAATAGCCACTCACAAAAGACCACATTTCACATGAATCCATTTATACAAAATGTCCAGATAGGTAAATCCACAGAGATAGAAAAGAAATTGGTGGTTGCCTGGGACTAGTGGA